GGCATAAAAAGTCATGAAAAAGTCATAGTATAGTAAGACATAAACAGTCATGAAAAAGATAGTATAGTAAGGCATAAAAAGTCATAAAAATGTCATAGTATATTAAGGTATAAAAAGTAATAAAAAAGTCAGTATGTTAACGCATAAAAAGTGAAAAAAAGTCATTGTATAGTAAGGCATAAAAAAAAAATAAAATAGTATAGTACAGCATAAAAAGTCATAGTATAGTAAGGCATAAAAAAGTTATAGTATAGTTAGAAATAAAAAAAACGTCATATCAAATAAGGCATGAAAAAGTCACGAAATAGTCATCATATAGGATGTATAAAACGTCATATAAAGTCATAGTATAGTAAGGCATAAAAAGTCACAAAAAAGTCATAGTATAGTAAGGAATGAAATGTCATAGATAAGGCATAAAAAGTCATGTAAAAGTCATAGTATAGTAAGAAATAAAAAGTCATGAAAAAGACATAGTATAGTAAGGCATAAAAAGTCATAAAAAAGTCATAGTACAATAAGGCATAAAAAGTACATAGTATAGTAAGGAATAAAAAGTCATAGTCTAGTAAGGCATAAAAAGTCATGGAATAGCAAGGCATATAAAGTCACAAAAAAGTCATAGTATAATAAGGCATAAAAAGTCATGAAAAAGTCATAGTATATTAAGGTATAAAAAGTAATAAAAAAGTCAGTATGTTAATGCATAAAACGTGAAAAAAAGTCATAGTATAGTAAGGCATAAAAAAGTTATAGTATAGTTAGAAATAAAAAAACGTCATATCAAATAAGGCATGAAAAAAATCACAAAATAGTCATCGTATAGGATGCATAAAACGTCATATAAAGTCATAGTATAGTAAGGCATAGAAAAGTCATAAAAACATCATATTATAGTTAAGCAAAAAAAAGTAATAACATACTAAGGCATAAAAAAGTCATAAAAAGTCATCATACAGTAAGTCATAAAAAAGTCATTGTATAGTACGGCATAGTCATGAAAAGTCATAGTACAATAACGCATAAAAAAAGTCATATTCTCGTAAGGCATAAAAATTCAGAGCATAGAAAGCCATAATAGATCACATGTAAACCTAATATCTGTCTGTACCATCATTAGTCAAATCTTGATTTTATAACTATTGTCCTCGCACAGAAAGGAAAGACAAATATTCATTAATAAACACTCAGATTATCTTTATTTTTATCAGCTATTATTTCAGACATTTGTCTTTATTACAGACACAGTGAGAGAGACGAGACATTTTTAGAGTGAAAGAGGATGACATGCAGCAAAAGCACAACACTTCAAAATCTAAACCACGGCACTAGTGCAAGGCACACACTGTGATACACATCACATTTTTTACTTAGTCTCCACAATAGTTTAGTCTTTATTTCCATCAACTCCAGAATGTCACAGACTTTTATTACGGGCAGGTCTTCATGTGTAACTCGTTCTGTTTGATATGTAGAGTTGGACAGAGTCGTTAGTTCGAAGTCTTGTGACCGATGACTTCTCTCTCTCCTGCTCTCTCTGTCTTATGTTTAGTCATTCCTCTGCCTCCTTTAGTAACAATGATACATGGAATCAAAGTAGAATATTTGCTGTAATAGTGGCGAGGCTCAGTGTATTGGAAGTGATCCTCCTCCTCCCTGCAGTTCCAGAGCAGCTGGGAAACCAGAGCGGCTCAGCACTCTGAGTGGAAACACTGGTGGAAATATGATCAGTCAGTCAGTCAGTCAGTCAGTCACATCTGCAATTATAGTGCTGGCCCTGCTGTTGCGGTCCATTTTCACTTTAAACAGTTTCAGGTTCATTCCATTAACAGAGTAAATGGAGCAAACACTGAGACACTTTCATAGATCCTCTACTGTAAAAGTCAATGGAAAACATTTTACTGGAAGTCAACACAACAAAAGTGAATCATCGTCTGTGGCGTCACCGCTGCACAAAATCACAAATTAATCCATTAGCCAAAAACACAGAGAGGACAGAGGAAGGCAACGGTGACACATCAGCAGCATCAACATTATCACAGACATTAATATGCACTGTAAAAAAAAATCCTAATTTTAAGGAAAATAACTGTAAGTTTTCTAACAGTAATTTTCTGTTTTTAAATTGTGAACAACAGTCTGTAAAATGACAGAAATGATGTGAATTAACAGCCAAACTTCTGTTTTAAGCATTATGCCAATAATAGTAAATTACATTTATTTCTTATTTTTCTAAAGACAAATTACTGTATTAGTTGTACAGTATTTTTTCTGCTTTCTTAAATCACATACAAATCTATGTAACATGACAGTAATTATCTGTAATTAAAAATGTAGCTTGTTATTATAAAGGTTAATGTCCATACTAACAATTTAAAGATCTTCTCTGTAATTTCAGGGTGAATCTTATTAGTTTTACATTAATGTGACTTCTACATTCAAACTTTGTGATTCTGGATGAAATGTAACAAACTTTTTTTCATCACATCAAACATTCAAACTTCAAACAAAAAAGTTAGAAGTACTGGAATGTATCCCAGCATGCACTGGGAGGAAAGCAGGACAATGGTTTATCACACAACAACAACAACAACAACAACACACACACACACACACACACACACACACACACACTCACACACTCACACACACTCACACACTCACACACATTCAGACTTATAGACAATTTAGATTCCTCAGTGAATGAAATGTGCATGTGTTTATTCTAGTAATCAGAGTCCTGGAGGAAACACAAGGAGAACATGCAACAAGGGGGGAGGAGGAGGGAGGGAGGAGGGAGGAGGAGGGAGGAGGGAGGGGTGGATCTGACCTGTGTCCTCGAGGACACCAGGTAAACCCACCTGACTGATGCAGTTGTTCATTTTCCCATCCGGTGCACACCTTGTTTAAATAGCCAGTTGTTTAAATTGACCAACAGAAACCTGGTCTTCAGTAAATGGCACAATATTTTCAGGGCACATTGTCAGTATGCGTCTACACAGGTGGGTGCACAGCGTGTCTGTTTAACACAAGCAGAGTTGTGAAGATGAGCTTCAGGTGTTTGATGTTTAGTCCGGTGGAACATTAGAAAGCAGCCACAGAAGGTCAGAGCATTCTTTGTCAGTACAGATCATTTAAATAACATTTGTTTAAGCTTTATTAAAGTAATGGTAACAAAAAATAATTAAATCATGCTTATTAAGGACTTTACAGTGAATCTTAGTGTCTCCTGTTATTTCTTTTCCCCCCAGATGCTCCAAGGATCCAGCTGATTACTGGCAGTTTGAAGGTGGATGTTTCTTCATCTGCTCCGTTGCACCGTCACTTCTGGTAAAGATTCATTGACCTTTGTGGCATGTTTAGATTTGACTTATTAATTCACTGTATAGTTGGGATTCTGACATAGAAGACAGTATAATGTTTGTCCACGTGTTGTCAGGACTATATGGAGAATACTGTGGAAAACAAGATCAAACTGAAGCTAAAAAACAACAGACCACCCCCCCTCAGCTCCACAGCCCCCCCTCTTTCAGAGGTGACATCATCACCTCCTCATTATAGGAACCTTAACAGGCAAGATAGACCAATGGAGAAATGCCAGTTTTAGTTCTTCTGACACAAATACTGCAAGTTGAAGTTTGAGATGATTTTAATGTTTTACACAGTATTTTTTACTTTGTCTTCAAAACAAAAGGTTTACTTTACAATATTAAGCTTGTGTTAATATTTCATTGATTGACACTTAATTTTATTATTAGGAAAAAGTTTCTCTGCAGAAACTTTAGTGGCGTCACTTTATTGAAGGAGTTTGATCATAATCATTTAGGAAAAATCTGTAAAATAACAGTTTTTCTCTGTAGAAATATTAATGAAACTTTCTGTAAAGTTATTGTTTTTACACTTTATTGGAATTAGGACATTTTACTTTAATTTTATGGATTTTGTTTGGTTTGTCATTTCACAGTTTTTTTTTACAGTGTGGCGTTTTTATATATGTATATAATGTCAATCAATGTATGATTAATTGTTCTATTTAAAGGGGGGGGGGTTGTTGTTGAGCAGGAAAACAACATCAACAGCTAAAGTAAAAAGTTATGGCAAACAGGGAGGAAGATCTGAGGTCGTAGCTTTTTTCAAGTCTCGATATTTGCGTCTCGGTTTATCAGGATCTGATGTCTCCCAGTGATATCTGTCTCCCAACTCATGAGCTCCAAGCTTTCAGAGAAACATCCTCTTACAAAAAGTTTCTGTCAATGAAAGGGCAGCTACATGTTGGCACCAGTGTAAAGCAGGAAAATCAGTTTAAAATATGTTCAAACATCTTTTCTCAGTAATGTTTTCACTCCTGCACCAAGAGCTTCAGACGGAAAAGGACTTTTTCTCATTAATAAGAAATCTCAAACATCAAACATCAGTTAATTCTCTCTGATCCGAGACCATCACACCTCATCCTGGATCACAGTCCACATCACACCTCATCCTGGACCACAGTCCACATCACACCTCATCCTGGACCACAGTCCACATCACACCTCATCCTGGACCTCAGAAAAGTTGTTGAGCAGATGACAATAACAGATTTCCTGTCGTTTTCATCGTTAACACTTTATGAACCTGGAGAAACTGAACTGTGTGTTAATGTGAGATGTTCGTCCTCAGTCGGAGCTGGATTCACTCAGGTTCATTTCAAAACCAAAAACTATGAACCAGCAAATAAAGACTTGAACTGTGTCTCTTCAGAACTCTTGGCTTTCGCTGCACCAGCTGATTGTGTCTGATTTTTATTGTTTCATCTCGTATTCTTTAAACTGTAAAGACACTTCATGTTAATCTTTTGCAGTTTAGCATGTAGCATGTAGCTGCTGCCTGTTCATATTTACATACAGTACAAACATGAGTCAAGCTGAGAAGCTGGATCTGACACTCGCAGCAGGAACGTTCGGACGCTTCCGGCTGATCAGTTTCGGGACTCGAGCGGCGGCTCGTTGGGGGGCGGGATCTTCACGTCAGAGGGTTCCACCCCCCAGATCTCGCGCGCGTACTGGGAGATGGTTCGGTCGCTGGAGAACTTCCCGGACGCTGCGATGTTGCGGATCACCATCTTGGTCCACTCTTTGGGATTCTGCAGAGAAACAGGAAACAACAGCTGATTGATCAATAATGAAAATAATCACTATCTGCGCTTCATTCATTTACATATGATGAAATGTCATAAACAACAATATATAATATTCAACTGTGAATATGAAGCTTCTGCTGCAGGAACATCGAGGACGTCGTCACCTTCGATCTCACAAAGAAGAATCAGTTTTATTTTTACAGATTCTGTGATTTAAAGATAAAACTTCCCTTGTAATAAAAAAATAACAGTTAAGGGAAATAGGAAATTATGAGGAAAGTTTCCTGGAAATTATCTGTAAAACATAAAGTGAAACTGATATTTAATGACTCACTGAACAGGATAATATATAAATATGTACCTGGTACAGGTCGCTGACTCGCTGCTGACACCTGACGTACGCCTCGTAATCTGCAAACACCTTAAACCTGACGGAGGAAACATTCACACGTAAACATGAGACGATGACATCAGAGCGTTTTCACCACCCTGCAGGTGTCGCTGGGCGGAGTCTGAGTCTCCTCTCTACCTGTCGTGGTTCAGTAGCATGTGGATCAGGTCTCTGAAGAGTTCTGGTTCTGTGGGACTGAAGAATCCGCTCTGGACCTGGTCGATGGCGAGCTTCAGCTCCGGCAGGCGCTCGTAGAACTCTCTGGCGTTGTAGCTGCAGGAAACAGCACAGGTGAACAGGAAGTGACATCATCGACTCCCTGTCTGCTGCAGGTGACCTCTGACCTTTCATCAGGGAAACTGAGAACAAGCCCTGCTGGTGCATTTAAGGACCCTCCGACATCTGGACCTGCGACTGATTCTTTCTTCTTTTCATTATTGATTGTTCAGTTATTTAATCAATGAATCAATTCAGTTTTGTATCGTTAACAACAGAGACACAGAAACAGGATCCAGTCTTTAAATCTGACTCCTGTCACTGTGGAGATGCTTTCAAACAAATACTACAAATACACTGATTATATATTAATTATGAACTGAACATGAAACCTGGAAAATCTGAATATTCAGACGATTTAAAAAAGATTCTTCATGAGTCTGATCAGTTTTCTGAAGGAGACGTGTTTGTGTTCGTAGATACAAGCTTTCATCCCTAACAATAATAATAACAACTATTAAAATTATTATTATATTATATAAAATTATTACTATTAAAATATAAAATCACTTTTATAAAACTTTTCATACAGAAAGATGAAATCCGATGAAATACGATGAGATAAGAACTCAAACAAAACAAAACAAATACAGTTTTTTAAAGTAGATGCCAAATAAAAAAGATATTTAATAACTAATAACACTGGGAATAAATAAATAAGATTAAATCCACTTCCTCTTTTAAAAGTTTAACAGTTTTTTGACACTTAAAGGAGCAAAGGATTAATAATGAATTTATGATGAAAGAATCACAAGTCATTACTAAAGAGAAGATCCTCAGGTAACATGGAGGCTGAGATGGTCAAAGTGTCCTTGAACGCACCATCTAGAGGAGTTTCTGACTTCCTGCTTTGACATAAAAACATAAACCTGATGTAACTGTTCCCCTCCCCCCTCCTCACCCCTTCCTGTCCATCTCCTCCACGTCCGTCACCCTCATGCCGAAGATGAAGAGGTTCTCCTCCCCCGCCTCCTCGGCCATCTCCACCGTGGCTCCATCCATGGTGCCGATGGTCAGAGCGCCATTCAGCATGAACTTCATGTTTCCTGTTCCAGAAGCTTCAGTTCCCGCCGTGGAGATCTGCTCCGACAGGTCAGCGGCGGGGATTACTGAGACACACAAACGCACCATCATCAAACTTTATTTTTCTTTTACCAATTTTAGCTTTGTTTTGTTTGTTCCTTCACCCCGCCCCTCACCTCTCTCAGCCAGAGACACTCTGTAGTTCTCCAGGTAGATCACTTTCAGTTTGTCTCCCACCGCCGGGTCATTATTGATCACCTGACCCACCGAGGTGATCAGTTTGATGATCAGCTTAGCCATGTGATAACCAGGAGCCGCCTGCAGGAGAGAGACGGTCATGTGATTCTCACCTGAAATCACTGTGTTTATGTTTATGCACATCATCTGTGTTTGTTGAGACAGATCAGCTGACCTTGCCTCCGATCATCACTGTCCTGGGGACAAACGTCGTCTCCGGCTCCAGTTTGATTCCTGGAAACAAATGAAGAAGAAGCTGATGGAGGTTGATGACAGTGACCAGCAGAGGGCAGCACACGCACAGTGACCAGCAGATGGCAGCACACGCACAGTAACCAGCAGAGGGCAGCACACGCACAGTAACCAGCAGAGGGCAGCGCACGCACAGTGACCAGCAGAGGGCAGCGCACGCACAGTGACCAGCAGAGGGCAGCGCACGCACAGTAACAACACAAACAGCTGCCTGGCTGCAGAGCACGGCGGCAGCCGCTGGTCTTACGGTTGTAGAGCGTGATGGCGTGTAGACAGGTGAGCAGCTGCCTCTTGTACTCGTGGATCCTCTTCACCTGGACGTCAAACATGGACTCTGGGTTGACCTTCACCTGGGTCAGCTGCTGCAGGAAGGAGGAGAACTTCAGCTTGTTCTCCTGCAGGGACAGAGACAAGTGAGGGGGACGGACAGAAAGACAGGTGAGCAGACTGATGGACGTCTGTCTCTCACCTGTTTGACTTTGGCTACGTCTCTGATGAAGGCGTGGTCGTCCACTAATGGGAGGAGTCTCTTCAGCTGCTGCAGGTCAGTGAGGAACTCGTCTCCGATTCTCTGCAGGATTCAACACAAGCTGAGACTCAGACCAGGACATTGACAGACCCATAAACCTGGTCCTGGTCTCTATGAACCGGACCAGTCCTCAGTCTCAGGTGAGCCGGTACCTCAGCGATGATGTCGGCCAGGCCGGGGTTACACAGCAGCAGCCAGCGGCGAGGAGTGACGCCGTTAGTCTTATTCTGAAACTTCTCTGGATCCACATCATGGAAGTCCTTAAACCTGCAGGGACGAGGTCCTGGTTAGTCCACCACGAGGACCTGATGTTCAACATCTGTCTCACACAGCTGGACACACACGGGGACACCGCTGCTCTGCGTTCTGATTGGCTGTTACTCACACGCTGTTCCTGACAATGTCCGAGTGGATCTGAGCGACGCCGTTGACGGCGTGAGACCCGACCACGCACAGGTGAGCCATGTTGATCCTCTTCGGGTCTCCCTCCTCGATCAGAGACATCCGGCGGAGACGGTCGGTGTCGCCGGGGAACATGGCCGCCATCCTCTGAGAGAAAACACAACGCCAACAGTCAGAGTGACAGGTGAGGTGCCCCTTCACAATAAGAGTCCCCCTTATAAAAGATTTATAAATAGTTTATAACAAGTCTATTAATGAGCTCGTTCAGACTTTATTAATCATTTATAAGCTGTTATAACACATTAGATAAAACAGTGAGCTGCGGATGAATCATTCATCACTGTATGAAAGTTGTTTATAATCGTTTATTCATGATTTATAAAGTGGGAACAACCAAATTAATAACCTGATTATAAAGCATTTATTAACCTTTATAATGTGTGTGTGTGTGTGTCTTACGTCCAGGTGTGTGTGTGTGTGTGTGTGTGAGTGTGTGTGTCTATCATCCAAGTGTGTGTGTGTGTGTGTGTGTGTGTGTGTGTGTGTGTGTCTTACGTCCAGGTGTCTCTGATTGATGTCATAGATGATCAGCAGGTGTCGAGGCAGCAGCTGTTCGAACATGAAGACGGGCCAACGCTCCAACGCCTCAGGAAGCACCGTGTGGTTGGTGTAGGCACAGGTACGACAGGTGATGTCCCACGCCTGGACACACACACACACACACACACACACACACACACACTGACACTGACTGAAGTGAGTCTCAGACTGACTCCATTAATGTCCTTGTTGCTGCGTTCAAAGAGAGTCTGGTTCTGGTTCTGGTTCTGGTTCTGGTTCTGACCTTGTCCCAGTCCAGCTTCTCCACGTCCACCAGGATCCTCATCAGTTCAGGGATGGCCAGAGCGGGATGGGTGTCGTTCAGCTGGATCGCCACCTGACGGGACAGGTGAGGACACGAGTTGGCACCACAGAAGAAGAACAGTGTGTGTGAGTAGAGTTCAGTAGAGTAGATTAAGCCCCTCCCCCTCCGCGGGTGCAGGTGTGGATCAGTTTCTCACCTTGTCGGGGAACGTGTCGAAGCAGGTCCTGACCGGGTCTCTGCAGCCGAACTTGGAGGACTTGAACCTGCGGATGATGTCCTGCAGCGTGGCGGCGACCATGAAGTACTCCTGCTTCAGACGCAGCTCCTTCCCCTCGAAGAAACACACACACACACACACACACACACACACACACACACACACACACACACACACACACACACTCTCAGTGGTGTGTCTCACCTCTGGACCTGGAGAAGTCGTCCACAGACTCAGACTCACGTTGTCGTTGGGGTACAGGACTCTGGAGATGTTCTCTGCCAGGTTTCTGTCCAGAACCGCTTCGATATAATCTCCGACATTAACTGAGAGACACAGAATCTTTTACTTCAGGATGTTTTTCAACATCTGGAACTTTTGTTTCATTATTTTCTTCCTCCTCTAAGACACAAGTTCGGACTCCACTACATCTCTGGACTGATCTGAAGTCTGTGTGTGAAGGTTTAAAGAAAGATTCTTTTATTTTGAAATGTTTGCTGTGTCTACCACAACCAGACTTCATCACTGACTAAAACTACAATCTCCTGCTCGTGGTCGTATCCCTCCGCCGCTCACACTGGTTCCAGGTCACATCCTGTTTATCCAGAGTCATTTCAAATATTAACTATTTGTGTGAAGTCTTGAGTTATGGCTAAAAAGTGTTTTTTTCAGAGGTCACCGTGACCTTTGACCTTTGACTACTGACCACCAAAGTTTAATCAGTTCGTCTTTGAGTCCAGGTGAATGTTTGTGCCAAATGAGAAGAAGTTCCTGAGATATCGTGTCCAACAGTGGATGTGACCTGGAACTAGTTTGAGCGGCGGAGGGATACGACCGCGAAGAGGTGACAAAATAAACAGGTCCAGGTGTTGAGGGACCTGGCCTGAGTCTGATCCAGGTCCTCAGGTCCAGGTGTGGTCTCAGCAGAGAGTCTGTAGTGACCTGATGACCTGCAGCTGTGGAGGAAGCGCTCTGACCTTTCAAAGTAAAAGCACTAATATCACACTGTAAGAATACTACATCACAACTGCTCCGTAAGGAAGAAGTGAGAGAGCGGCAGAACAGTGACGATGATGAAGACGATGAAGACGACACATACAGTTCTGTAGTTTGAAGTCGTTTGGAGCTTTAGCCGACCACAGTCTCATCGTGTTCACCGTGTTGTTATGGTAACCAGGTACTGGAGTGTCATAAGGCATCGCCAACACCACCTGCACACACACACGCTAAATGAACATATATATATGTACAGGTGGACTTGTGCAGGTCCTGGTCTCTGCAGGTTGGACCAGGACCTGGAACGGGTCCAGACCTGGTTCAGGTTTTGGTCTGACCTGAGTGTCGACCCACTTCACTCCGCCCTCCGCCCTCCACACTCGGCCGTAGAAGTGAACCGGCAGCATGTACTCAGGTCTGGCCTTCTCCCAGGGGTTCCCGTACCGCAGCCAATCATCTGCCTCCTCCACCTGAGGAGCACATCAGCCAATCACAGGCCTCCTGTGTGTGTGTGTGTGTGTGTGTGTGTGTGTGTGTGTGTGTGTGTGTGTACCTGCCACCCCTCACTGATCTTCTGGTTGAAGATGCCGAACTCGTAGCGGATCCCGTAGCCATATGCCGCCAGACCGAGGGTCGCCATGGAGTCCAGGAAACAGGCTGCAGGAGGGAGGAGGAGCTTCATCCTGACATCACACTCAATCAATATCTATCAATGATCAATACTGACTGATTGATCTGTTTCATTTTCAGGATGCGGCAGATCAAGCCTGAGCAGCAGTTGGACTTCAGTCCAAAAACACTGGAGCCTACATTTCCCATGATGCACCTGGACAGTGTCTTTCATTAGAGCCTCTGTCACCATCTTCATAAACTTCTTTTAATTCAAACTTTATATCAGAGACACCAGGACCAGGACTAACAGGACTAACAGGACCAGGACTAACAGGACTAACAGGACCAGGACCAGGACTAACAGGACTAACAGGACCAGGACTAACAGGACTAACAGGACCAGGACCAGGACTAACAGGACCAGGACTAACAGGACTAACAGGACTAACAGGACCGGGACCAGGACTAACAGGACCGGGACTAACAGGACTAACAGGACTAACAGGACCAGGACCAGGACTAACAGGACCAGGACTAACAGGACCAGGACTAACAGGACTAACAGGACTAACAGGACCAGGACTAACAGGACCAGGACTAACAGGACCAGGACTAACAGGACTAACAGGACCAGGACTAACAGGACTAACAGGACCAGGACCAGGACTAACAGGACCAGGACTAACAGGACTAACAGGACTAACAGGACCGGGACCAGGACTAACAGGACCGGGACTAACAGGACTAACAGGACTAACAGGACCAGGACCAGGACTAACAGGACCAGGACTAACAGGACCAGGACTAACAGGACTAACAGGACCAGGACCGGAACGCTGAACTTGATGTGTGTCAGTTCTGTGTTTTCATTGAGTTTTTTTATTTCTCACTTAATGAAAACTCAGCAGAAATAAAGACAAAGATCCTGAAGAGAGACGAGGCTTCACTCTGTCTGTTATTCACCTGCCAGTCGACCCAGTCCTCCGTTTCCGAGACCAGCGTCCTCCTCAATCTCCTCCAGCTCCTCCATGTCCAGACCCAGCTACACACACACACACACACACACACACACACACACACACACACAAAGGACAGTGAGTGTTTTGTGTCGACTTCCTCGTTGAGACTCGTCTTCATCAAGTCCAAGAAATCACAAAACTGCTGGAAAAAAAGCTCATTATTGGCTTGTTTGCAAAAAGTGATCAATCAATAAATCCGATTAATTTTCTGTTAGTTGTCTAATTGATTAAACATCTAATCATTTCAGGTCCAGACTGGTTCTTGAAGAAATGCGGAAGCTCTCTCACACACACACAGACACACACACACACACACAGGTGTGTTACCTGGTAGATGGCCTCGTCACAGGTGTTCTGCAGACCCAGGTTGATCATGGTGTTCTGCAGAGCTCGGCCCATGTAGAACTCCAGGGACAGATAATAAACCCTCTGAGGAAAGAGACAGAATCCAGATCAGACCAGGACCAGGACTGAACTCCAGACCACCAGACCTCCAGGTACAACATGTGGTGAAGCGACAGGGGCCAAACACTGAACCTGGGGCCCCTTTTACTAAAGAGTCAAATTTAGATTTAAGCCTTTATTGTGTCACTTCCTGGTCTTTAATGATGAAGGAACTCAAACTAAAAGTCTGAATGAACTGACGTCAGATTAAAGAAATAAATCTTTCTCTCGTAAGTTTAAACTCTCGATGGTCACGTGTGGTTTTGTCTCTGCAGCAGCTGCAACAGGAAGTTTTATTCTGACAGGGAATGTTTCATGACCTGGCTGCTAAAAAACAAAACATGACCACTTCCTCCTCTTATCCGACTTCCTCCCTGAGTTCATCTGACATTTTACCTCCTGTCATCTGAATTTACCTGTTTTTATTCCAGTGCAACGACCTGCACACATCACCTCCAGAATCACATCTGTAACATCTGCACTGCACAGCTGTGTCAGCTGACCCCTTTCAGTGAAAACACATGAATTTCACATGTGTAAAAATATCATTTTAATATGTGAAAACATGTTGAAATCACCTTTGAATGTGTGAAACAGACTTTACATCAAACCGAACACCAGAGTTCTGGTTCTGGTTCTGTGTGGACCCTCAAAGAAAAACTCTGGCTCCTAAATGTTCTTTAAACTGACTTTTCCATCACCAGACTCTGGGAGAAACCAAACCTCAGCAGTGATGCAGCTCTTTTCATCATGCACTTACCTTGGTTACCAAGGAGATGTTAAAACTGTCTGATGATTGAATGGAGTTTGGTCTCCTTCACAAGATCAAATACTTAACCCTGCATCAACCCAGACTCCACTTAAAATATATATATATTCATCTAGAAATTTCAAACTTTAGTATTATTTACCTGCGAACAGACTGAACAGAGTTTGGTTTACTTCTCTCCTAAGAAGACAAGTGGGCTAAGACAAGGTCACGGAGAAAGTCAAGCCAGACTCCGTTGTAAAATATGACAATTTCATGTTTCTTTGATGCTTGTCTAAAGTGTGTATTAATAAAACATTAATTAAGATATTTTTAAGATCGATATGATCCTCTGATAAAATCGGCATATGAAGAATACACCATGCGCATCTATATTTAGGCAGAATCGTGGGTTTATTAACTGGTCTGCATTGCTGTCTGCGGCGCACTGTAAAGGTTTCGACAGTGAGAGAAAAGTTTTTAAACTTAATTTCTCACTAAAATAAAGAAATATTTGGAGGAAAGACACACGCCGAATATTTGTCTGGTACCGAAACATCTAAAAGAGAATGGGTTGTTTTTTTCATCGCTTTCTCATTTGCAGATTATTAAGGAAATTGGAAATCTACTATTTTTTCAGTGGAGTTCAACATGTTGTCTCCGCCGGAAACCGGCCTGCTTGCGGGCTCCTGCTGCTTTTACCTTGGGGTCTTTCTCGTAGTAGTACTGCTGGGTCCGGATCCAGCGGCCCACCAGGTGGTCCCGGACGGTGTGGGCCAGGGCGAAGTAGTAGTCCCGGGGTGTCGCGACGTTCCGGTCCTTCACCAGCGTGAAGTGGAGGTGTCGGTTAAAACTCCGCTTGATCTCCGCAACGTCCTCGAGCCCGGCGATGCCCCGGACACTGATCTGCTTCCGCTTCTCCTGGTCGGTCAGCGGCGCCGCCATGTTTCCACAACAACAACCCGGAGAAGTAGCGTGGAGAGCGGCCTGACTGAAGGAGCCGATCCCGCCGAGAGAGGCGAACACCTGTCAGGTAGAGGGAGAACACAACACGCAGCCACGCCCACTCCGCAAACTCTGACAGCCGGACGACTCGGAGGGGGCGTGTCCTGGAGGGCGGGGTCTGGTGGGGCAGGGGCAGGGCGAGGGTCCAACAAAGAGTTTGGAGCAAAGGAAGAGGTCTCACTCTGAGAAAAAATAAATGAGACATCATGAATTAAATGTGAAGAAGCTCTTGATGTTTATATTTGAGGGAATATTGACCATCAGTAAATTTATAAACATGAAGCTTTTAACAAATATAGACTTTATTTACATTTTTTCACCATAATATTTACCAAAACATTTACGATAATCTCCAGATTTGTAAAGAAAACGATTTATCTGTAAAATCAAAGGTGAATTTTCTCACATAAAATCTCAAAATAAAAACAGAAAAGAAAAATTTGACCTAGAAGTGAGAAAAAAAATCCCCATTTCCAGCTTCCTGAAGAGAAACTGCTGCACACTATCTCATCGGGTGTAAATAAATGTTTTCAGGGTGACTAATTTTAAAACACTTTTACGGATAAGAGAAGATAGTTGAATGTAACTAAGTACGTTTTCTTAAGAACTGTAATTTTAGTAGTTTTGAGATACTTGAGTGTTTCCATTTTGTGCTACTTTTAACTTCTGCTATACCACCCTTATTGCATTTATTGATAACTTTAGTTACTTTGAAGGATGTGATTAATAAAATATTTTCATCATATAAATTCTGATGTATTAGCAGGATATTAAGTAGTTGAAATGAGCTCCACTTAACCAGCTGCAGTAGTAAAGTGATGAACACATGAATTAATCAATAATTATAATAATTAAATAATTAATTTAATTAAAAATAATAAAATCAATTAAATCAATCTAAATTTTGAAATGAGGCATGCTGCATATTAAATACTTTTATCTTGGTACTTTAATGTTTGTATTTTTATATCAGTGATATTTTGAGTATTTCAACTCGGTGGTGGTTGTACTTTAGTAAAGTGGTGTTATTAAATTTCCACCGAGTGACTCATCTTCATTAGAAACCATCTTTGATTCTCTGCGTCCTGACGTCATGCTTAGAGCGTCAGCCAATTCTGACTCGTGTTTCCGGGTTTCACAATAAAACGCCTCCACTGAGAAACTTTTCGGGTCCTCTTGGGTCTTCTCGTGCGGGTTGAAGTGTGTCTGACGTCAGGTGAGTCTAACGACTTCCTGCTTCTCCAGGTAACTTTAACCTGTTTCCTCTGTGCAGTGAAAACTGCGGCTCGAGTCCAGTTTACTGAACAACTGTTTGTGTCTGTAGCGTCTGAACCCGCCTGATCCTCCTCCAGCACGTGAGCCCGGGTCCGTCAGCAGGTCCAGACCCGCAGGTAAGGACTCCCTCTGACCCGCTTTGTCTCTGGACCGCCAGAGTCCGGAAAGAGCCTGTTTGGTTGTTGTAGTCCGGTTTGGTGACAGCATCTGGTTTCACTGGGAGAGTCCAGCAGCTGCTACCAGCTCCAGTCTCATCAGGTCTGAGGGGAGACCGGTACCATGAGGGTCAATGTCCTACAAAATAAAAGCCCCGTGCAGAAGTGGATGACTCTTCATTAGCTGCAGGATCCTGTTTCACTTTAATGAAAATAACAAAAATGAATACTCAGCTCTGTTGTCATGGAGACGAGCTGCGCAGTTATGTCTAATTAAAAACCAGAGAAGAAGGTGACGTCATTAGTTTTCAGTTCAATTAAATGTGGGCCTGGAGTGACAGTGACATGGACGGATCATGAGTAGAGGGGGGCCGGGCACAGGCAGATAAAAGACCCCCCCACCCCTCCTGCATGGTTACATCGGTTGTTAATGTTTTGTTTGTTTGTAGTTTATTTCATATTTCATGTATCACAGATGAATTTGTTTGTTTTTTATGACTCAGTGATTTGATGTAATAAAACCAAAAACCTCCATCTTTAGTTCAAACTGTCAAAAACACGGATTCAGTTTCTAATCAGATGAAACGGAGAATAATTAAAAACAAAGACGTTTTACTGCTGAGGTGTCACTCTGTTTAGAAACTGTTCCACACTCCGGTGATAAAACCCAGCAGAGGAGGCTGGTTCAGTCAGGACTGTCTGTTTTATATATAAATATAATTAAATTACTTCAGTGTCATATTCTGCAGAGAGGATGTCGACCACGTCTCAGAAGCACCGGGACTTTGTCGGGGAGCCGATGGGGGACAAGGCGGTGACGGCTCTGTCGGGGATCGGAGAGATCCTGGGGAGGAAGCTGGAGGAGCAGGGCTTCGATAAGGTGGAGAAGCAACAACAAAACACACATTCACTTTCTCCTGTAACTTTAACTCCTGTGTAGCGCCCCCCAGAGGCTGCAGGGTTCATTACAGTCACAAGCTGAGGTCCAGTCCACCTCCTCAGCTTCTGTTTCTGCGAAAGTTAAAGACATTTAAGATGATTTAAAGGAGCTATGTGAGTTTTTCTATTAGCTACATAGCTAACATTAGCATTAGCAGCTGTTTACTCACCAGTCTAGAGGAAACGTGAGTTCAGCATCAAACAGCTGTTTCCAGATGTTCAGTGAGAGGATGAGGAAGCAGCTGATCAGAGAAAACAAACATTTACCACCTGAAAGTCCGTCACAGTAAAACTGAGATCTCTGAATCTGATCAGAGGATTTCAGTTGTTCTTTTGCTGTTTTCTTGTTTTTCTTTTGGGTTTTTTTGTGTATTTTTTTATGTTTTTAAAATATTTTTTCTTGTTTTTGTTTTTTTTTTTTCATTTTCTTGTATTTATCTTTTACTTTTTTTACTAAGTTTTTAGGTTCTGTGTGTGTGTGTGTGTTTGTGTGTGTTCAGGCGTACGTGGTCCTGGGTCAGTTCCTGCTGTTGAAGAAAGACTCTGAGATGTTCACCGAGTGGCTCAAAGACGCCAGCGGAGCGAACTCCCGCCAGGCCGCGTCCTGCGCTCAGTGCCTGAAGGAGTGGTGTGATGCCTTCCTCTGAGACCCCGCCCCCTCATCACCTGTGGCTCTGCCCCTTCAGGTTCTTCCCCAGCTCACTCACTTCCTGCTTCTGAGGCTGAACATCAGAGCTCATACCTGTGTCTGTCTGTCGCTGCTGCTGTTGTTCAATGTTGCAGCTTCACCTGGACGGTGACGTGTCGACCTGACAGGTGTTTGTTTGTTTGTTTGTTCATCAGTTTGTTTCATTGGAGAACGTTTACAGAAATAAAAGCTTGTGTCTCAACAGTTTGTGTGTCTGCGTGTGAACACATGAATCCTCTGATCAACAACAAAACTGTTCCAGGTTAAAACACCTCAACTACACTGACTTTAGCATGTAGCATTTAGCATGCTACACACTGACAGCAGCAGACTGACTCTGTGGAGACTCAGTGAATCAACAGAGACTTTATTCAGACACATTCACATCTGTTTATTGCAGGTTTTGTACCGAACACACACACACACACACACACACACACTAGAAACACTAGAAACAGTAGAAACAGGAGCTCCTTCAGAGTAGAAAACAATCAGAGTCGCTGTCGATAGAAACAGAATTGATCAAGTTGAACAGCTGGAGGTCAGAGACATGAACCCAGTGTGAGCGTGAACTGGTTTCACTGGGACAGAGGAGCAGAGATTGAAACCCAGTAACAACACAAGGTTTTAGAGAATGTGAAGTCTTCTCATGTTCATCAGGACCGGGTCAGACCAGGACCAGGAAACGACAGTGAGATTCCTGATGAACAGGAAGTTCAGTTATTTTTAAATGGTTAATTTAAGGAACTTGTTTAAATCAGTGTCTCTGTGAAAAGTCTCTTTGTCTCATTCTGATGTTTTTATTGAATCAATATCTTTAAACTTTAAATCTAATAAAAACAGATTTTGACCTGAATGAGTCTCAAGTCTTTTCTCTCTGATCAGACTGAAGCTTCTTCATCAACGTCCATCTGTTTCTGGTTTTAACTAAAATTAATATATAAAAAAACTTCACATCTGTGGCACTGTTGGTTCTTGTCACCATGGTAACAGCCCGTTTATCATGATACACACGTGGGCACGTCGTTAATGACAAAAGGTCCTGAACGTCAGGTCCCGTCGGGTCCTTCAGGTCCTTCAGGTCCCGTCGGGTCCCGTCGGGTCCTTCAGGTCCGTCAGGTCTTGTCAGGTCCCGTCGGGTCCCGCCGGGTCCCGTCGGGTCTTTCGGGTCCCGTCGGGTCCCGTCGGGTCCTTCGGGTCCTTCGGGTCCGGTCGGGTCCCGTCAGGTCCTTCAGGTCCCGTCAGGTCCCGTCAGGTCCTGTCGGGTCCTTCAGGTCCGTCAGGTCTTGCCGGGTCCCGTCGGGTCCCGTCGGGTCTCGTCGGGTCCTTCAGGTCCCGTCGGGTCCTTCAGGTCCCACCGGGTCCCGTCGGGTCCCGTCGGGTCCTTCAGGTCCTTCAGGTCCCGTCGGA